TTTGGCATGTTAATTTAGATATAATAGGGTTTTACAATTTTTTTTAACTAGGCCCATTCTTAATTATTCGCCTCTAGGCCTTCTAACATGCAGGACCGCCCCTGACCGGAACTAAAGTGGTTCATCCCTACTGAAGGTGGATTTGGATTCTCTGCCTTAAGGCAGAGTGCCTTACGACAATGGGCAGTGATAACACCCAGAGCCTTGAGATATGTGAACAAAAGAGAGAATTCAGAGAAATATTAACTTGTGTTCATTCCCATTTGCAAATGGGCAGTGATATCACCCAGGGCAGAGTGCCTTACGGCAATTTCATAGGTAATAATACCATTTGCAAATAAATCTTAATATCAAAACTCCTAAACTTTGTTATACATATAAAAAGAGAGAAATATTTTTACCTATGAAAATTTGAGTTCCTACTTTTTCAAATAAATTATGGCCTAAGGTGGCTCAAGACCGAATTGCTTCTACGAAGGCACCACCTTGAGTGGATCAGGAGCCCCTGCTTTACTTTGGCAGTGGAGAGTGCTTGACCATATTCAACCCTCAAATGAAAACATTAAGGGTAAAAGATGAAAGGATCCATTTTGTTCACATATCTCAAGGCCCTAGGTGATTTTACTGCTCATTGCTGTAAGGCACTCTGCCTTAAGATAGAGAATCCAAATCCACTTGAGTAGGGATGAACCACTTTAGTTCTGGTTCTTGATCTACCAGTTCTAAAATAAGTGTCTCATTTCCTTTTTTGAAATAAATATGTGGTCTACACCATTTCACTTTATTATATTCAAACATAAACCACAAGTTTTACTTTTGCAACCACATCATTAATAATCGTGTCAAGTCAAACTAGGTCATACAAAATGAGACAGAGGTAGTAGTTTTTAGGTGAAAAACTACTTTGACCGAGTAGGATTGGTATCAAATCGGTTTTGATATACCAATGCATTTATGAAGTTCTTCCCGTTTGATTTCAAGTTCTTTTAAACATATTATTATAAATACAAAAAAGCTGTTATTATAGATACTAGTAATCGAGTATATATACCTTCTTATGGTACAAAAACTAGTCACATGATGTCTTCCTAGTCAAGACTCAAGACTATGGAGAATGCAAATCTCCCTTTATTGGTGTGGATGCAATGCAAAGAAGAGAATGAAAGTGTAATTCAAAACTTTACCTCAAGACTATGGAGAATGAATCCCCCTTTACTGGTGTGGATGCAATGCAAAGAAGATAATGAAAGCGTAATTCAAAACTTTACCTTTGCAAGGATTTGAACCCAATTAGATAAAAATATTCATCATTTCTTTTATCATCTACTCCCACCCAACAGAGACTTATTTCCATTCTAGAATACACAGATTACATTGCACTAGACTAAAACAGATCAGATATGAGCGAGTTTTTAACATACATGATCAAACATGAAAAGAAGGTTAAAATAGACTTATCACAATTAAATAAACCCGATAATATACCATACTAAACAAGAATAACCAAATTAATTTAGACCAAACTTGATTTGAAAATTTCAATTTAAGCGAAAAGTTCTTTACAAAAATAAATTGCTAAAACAATACATAAGCGAAAAGTGATTTTAGATTTCATGTTTATTGGTCAACACAATTCCACTTCATTATCTAATTTTGAATATCTAACTCATAGATTTATGCTTTTGATAACATCGCTACTGATGGAGGCTAGCGATTCGAGCTGTAGCGATGAGGATCCTTCAAACCCTAGCAGCGGCGCGATGCAGAGGCGGCGCGATGCAGAGGCGGCGCAAGACATAATCGATGACCGAGCAAGGCGTAAGAAGGTGAGGTGGTGTGGTATACCCTCACGGCAGGTCATGAAAGCTTTGCTTTATTGGTAATTTTTCAAAGTCTTCTCCCTTTCCGAACGTTTTTGTTACGAGTTGTTTGTCTGGCTGGTTCTGGCCGAGAATTGTGGTGTGGTTTGTGTTCTGTTTTGGCTATTCCATTGAATTTCGTGGTTGTAGCAACTGTGTTTGTGTGTAATAATTTCAGTTTTGTTGATCGGTGTTTTTTCGATTGGGATAAAATGGATACGATCTCGAGGAATGTTAAGATGTTATCAATTGCTGAGGAAGAAAACAGGGGGCTGGTGATTGCGGCTGACCCGTTGGAAATTGGGGGTGGAGAAACCTAGGTATATAATCTAGCGGCGGCGGCTCGAGTGGTGTCTGATAAACCTATTCGTGCTGTATCTTTCTGTCAAACAATGACTATGGTCTGGAGGCAGTGAAAGGAGTCTCTATTGATGAGATTGAGGACTCAAAATTTCTGTTACAATTCTATCATGAAGGAGACCTGAGTAGAGTTGTGGAGGAAGGGCCATGGTCTTTCGAGCAGAATTTGGTGGTTATTAAACGATTGGAGCGTACTAATAAGACTTTAGAGGTTGCATTGGACCATGCAGATTTCTGGGTCCAAGTACATGATCTACCGCTAAGTTATATGACGGCAAAGGCTGCACGTGGCATAGGCAACAGTATTGGCTCTTTTGTACAACTGGACGAGAGCTCTCCTAGCGGGAAACAACGGCTGGTTATGCGCATTAGGGTCACTTTGAATATTAAAGTGTCGTTAACTCGACGTCTGCAGGTTAGACAGGAGGGAGATGGTTGGACTTGGACAAACTTTAAATATGAGAGGCTTCCGAACTTCTGTTTCTTGTGTTGGATTCTTGGTCATGCTGACCGCTTTTGCCCCTCCAATCCGCATAGTGGCTTGGGATATGAGGCGTGGAGGTGTACACCCGGGGAACAGATGGCTTATTCCTAGCAACAACAAACCGGACAATAGACAAGGACAAATGGCAGGTTCTGATACAGAGACGGAGGCACAGAAGACATATCTGGTGGAAGGACATTTATCAAAGGGAAAGGAGATTGTTACAACGGGGGATACGTCCACGAAGCGTAGGACTACTGAGAAGGAAAGCAAGGTGGAGACGCGGGTGGGTATGGACGTTGATGCATCGTCTCCAAAAAACTTGGAAGTGACAGTGCTGCCTGGACAGCACCGCCAGTAGCGGGAAGAGGCGAGAATGTGATGGTTGTCCCTTCAGCGGGGACTGGTCAAGCCGCTACTCCCTTGCCAGGGGCTGGTCAAACTGGCTTATGTTTTTTTCTTGTTTTTTCATTAGCTCCGAACTCTGTTTTATTTTTTCACTCTCATTCTAGTAGCAAGAACAACGTTGCTGTGGTTAGAGTCTACCACGTTGCGGGATTAGCGAGATGGGCCGCTAGTAAGCGTGACTCCAACTCTGAGTCTCATCCCAATGGAGCCTTTGTTATGGTATTGTATCCGGTTCTCAGCTTTATTAATATTTAAATTATCTGTTTTTTAAAAAAAACTCATAGATTTATTTTGTTTGCGGATCATAGAACATTTGACCTTTGACCTTGTTATGCAAATTGTCCAAAACATTGGTGGGTTTGGAATGTAAAGCTCAAATCGGATGGGTGAGATTGGTTTGAATCCGAATTTGCTGTTTGGCATGGCTGATTTTTCTTACCTGTAATTTAACCTTTAGTCTGTACTCCCTATTACACCACTTGATTTGGCATAATTCTCGGTAAAGCTTAACTTATCGATCTCAAAACCAGGGCACCCCCGATTATTAAAGTTCACCGCAATTATGATAAGTAAATAATAAATAAATGCAATTATTATGGTACTAATTATGATCACTCCGTCATAAAAAACATTGCATGAATTGCTAATTTAAGTGCCCATGATATTAAAAACTGGCTAAATTTACATATTCCTCTAAAATTTATGAAATTGCGATGGAGTAAGTAACTAGATTGACTGATTCTATCAAGTTATGAAAAATTATATTTAAAATATAAGTTACTAATAAAATTAAGAAAAAATTATATGAAAAATAGCACAAATGATCATCTATAAATCTACAATAATTTCAATTAGAAAAATAACTTCAACTTTAATGACTTTTCATTTATCACACAATTCCTTCTCAAATATCTAGGCTAGAGCTCCGCTCCTTATCTATAATTAAAATTCAATTTGCATTCTATAAGTAAACTGTCTGACCAGTACTGAGAACTCTCGGGGATAAGATGTCATCCTTTTTTTAGGATGTTTTAACTTGGATTGTTTTCAGTCCCAAATCATATCAGCCCAGACTTAAACAGATCAGACTAGACCAGACTTCCATATTTATAAAATACACCGAGACCATATATTTACCAGACCAGATGAGACTTAAACAAACTAGACCAGACTAGATCATTAAATTTCAATCCAAATAAAAACATCCCTATCACATTAATTTCAATCAAGAAAATAACTTCAACCTTAATAATTTTCATTATCACACAATTCCTTCTCAAATATCTGAGCCAGAGCTCTACTCCTTATCTATTACGGAGTAGCTTGTAATTAAAATTCAATTTACATTCTTTTAGTTAACTGTCCGACCAGTATTGTGAACACTCGGGTATAAGATGTCATCCTTTTTTAAGATGTTTTTATTTGAAGTGTTTTCAGTCCCAAATCATACCAGACCAGACTTAAACAGATCAAAATAAATCAGACCAGATTTTCAAATTTATAAAATACAAAGAGACCAGAAATTTATAAGCGCTACTCAAACAAAATAAATCAAACTAAATCGATAAATTTCAATCCAATGTAAAAAATCCTTATCATACGTGAAATAAAGCGTTTCATATTAAGTGAGAAGTTGATTAAGAAGAGTCATAAACTAAAAAATAACAATCCAGCTTGAGGTACACATTTTCATACACACACCTACACACTCATGTTTGTGAAGAGTATTTTTTTGTCTGTATACAGACAAAAAAATATACTCCACAAACATGAGTGTGTAGGTGTGTGTATGAAAAATGGGTACGAATAGATTTTTTGAAAAAATAATGACTCAAAACAATATCCTTTCTAGGAAAGCGAAATGAAGTAGATGAAGGGTAATATTGACTTTTCAACTGAGCTTAGTGCTTTAAAACTCTCTCCTCACGGTCCTCATTTCCCTGCGTTGCACTTCTCCCCCTCTTTCTCTTCTTCGATTCTTCTTTCCAGCCCCGCCATTTTCACCGACGAACCAGCGAGTCGTAATGGATCCAGTCTCGGAATGGGGAAATACGTCGCTCTCCGAAATGGACCCGGAGATCCACGATCTCATCGAGAAGGAGAAGCGCCGCCAGTGCCGGGGTATCGAGCTGATCGCCTCCGAGAACTTTACCTCCTTCGCCGTCATAGAGGCCCTCGGCAGCGCCCTCACTAACAAATACTCTGAGGGAATGCCCGGGAACCGCTACTACGGTGGAAACGAGTACATCGACCAAATCGAGAACCTGACCCGCAGCCGCGCTCTCCAGGTGTACCGCCTCGACCCCGCCAAGTGGGGCGTCAACGTGCAGCCTTACTCCGGCAGTCCTGCCAACTTTGCCGCTTACACGGCTGTCCTCAATCCCCATGATCGGATCATGGGGTTGGATTTGCCATCTGGTGGCCATTTGACCCATGGCTATTACACCGCTGGGGGGAAGAAGATCTCGGCCACCTCGATTTACTTCGAGAGCTTGCCGTACAAGGTTAGTTCAAGCACAGGTTATATCGATTACGATAAATTGGAGGAGAAGGCTTTGGATTTCAGGCCAAAGTTGATCATTTGCGGTGGCAGTGCTTACCCAAGAGATTGGGACTACAAGAGATTCAGAGAGGTAGCTGACAAATGTGGCGCTCTTTTGCTCTGCGATATGGCTCACATTAGTGGCCTTGTTGCTGCTCAGGTACCAAGCTTTCAACACATGCACGCGTAATTTTTCTGTTGATTTGATTTGCATGTTTATTCGATGAGAGGATTTGTATTTATAACCCTTCAATCGTAGATCTGCATTTGATCTAGGTTTTTGTTTTAAATTTCGGATGTGTGATTTTCATATAAATTGTTGATCTCCTTTGTTGCATGACTACACCGTGATCCGCTCATTTACCTTCATTTCCCCCTAATTATGGCAACAATTTTGTGTTTGGTAAAAAACGATTGGATATCAGATCGGTGCAAGAGGTAAGGAATTACATTTTCTATGCAGTAACTCATATTCATCACATTTCTGTAGAAAGTTCAATATTTTGAGGTCTCCCTCATTTATATGCGAACTAATCGTATTCTCTAAGATATGGGAGAAAATTCAAAAAATATACAACATTCCAAACATGTTAAAACACCTGGTGAAATGGAAAGTATAGAACATAGCCATGAAAATACGAGTCACTACAACGAAAAATTGAACTATTACTGTATTGACTTGCTAATAACTAAGTCTCTTTTTGTGTAATATGTCTATTTCTAAATGTAGTTTTATATTTGAAAAGTTTCCTGATATATACATATATCAAATTGTCTACCTAGTTTTACATTTAGTTTCTGTGTGACAGTAGTGTTGTGTGGATACTTGAATCTTGGATAGTAGTCACTTCCTCTTATCTGTTCTGTAAAGAGACATAAACATCATTGAAACTTGAAGTTATCATTGTGGGTGTGCAGGAAGCTGCTGATCCTTTTGAGTACTGTGACCTGGTTACTACCACAACCCATAAGAGCTTGAGAGGTCCAAGGGCAGGCATGATCTTTTATCGAAAGGGACCCAAGCCACCAAAGAAGGGACAACCAGAGGATGCAGTGTATGACTTTGAAGACAAGATAAACTTTGCTGTTTTCCCTTCATTGCAAGGCGGTCCCCACAACCACCAAATCGGTGCTTTGGCTGTTGCCCTCAAACAGGCAATGACCCCTGGCTTTAAGGCTTATGCTAAACAAGTCAGAGCTAATGCGGTCGCGATTGGAAACTATTTGATGAGCAAAGGATACAAGCTAGTCACTGCTGGAACTGAGAACCACCTTGTTCTATGGGACCTTCGCCCTCTCGGTTTGACCGGTAATAGAATTTTCTGATCAATCTCTTTGTGTTTTGGGCTTTTTTGGAATGATCAATCAAATAATTCTCATTCATTTGTTCTTGTTTCTGTTTTTAGGTAACAAGGTTGAAAAACTGTGTGACTTGTGCAACATTACTGTTAACAAGAATGCTGTTTTTGGAGACAGTAGTGCTCTTGCCCCTGGAGGAGTTCGTGTTGGTAAGATTAAGACTTCATCCGGATAGAGTGAACTATTTAAACTTGCGGTTTTAAAGTTATCTGAGATTCTGAGGTTTGTAAAAACTGGTTGAACATAAGTGATTCCAGTAAACAAAAGTATTATTTGGATAGTTGCTAGGTCAATCTAGGTGTGCATAAAGTGTTGTTTGGATCGAGGTGAACCTATACATAAAAAATTACCCTTGAGGAGAACTTAACTTGAGAAAATCTCCAATTTGGAGGTTATTGAAGGTGACCTTGGTTTGCAAACCTAGGTAACTAGGTTGTTTACATAAAAGAATAAACAAACTGAGATGAATTAATGATTAAAGCTGGAAGCATTAGGTTCACCTCAAAACAGCAGGTATCACCATGTAGTAGGACAACTCAGGCCAATCAAATTGTTGCTTAATCAAGGCATAGATTGGCATTGTTGTGGCTTTTTTAAGCACCCAACTTTTTTACTGTAAAAACCTTGTTTGGTAAAGGTAGTGTTGTGGCTTGGAACAGCTTTTTGAATCTTTGGGAGCGATTAGTATCATAAATAACTAAAGTAACTTTTTTACATAATCACAACACAACTGGCCCTGAATCAAAACACCATATTCTTTCTTGCACCCTTTTTTATGAATAAATATATGTAGTGAATGAGGATATTTGTGGGCAGGTACCCCTGCCATGACATCGAGGGGCTTGGTCGAGAAGGACTTTGAGCAGATTGGTGAATTCCTACACAGGGCTGTGACCATCACACTGAATGTCCAAAAAGAGCACGGGAAACTCTTGAAGGACTTCAACAAGGGCCTGGTTAACAACAATGAAATTGAGCAGCTCAAGGCTGATGTTGAGAAGTTTTCATCCTCGTTCGACATGCCTGGCTTCAAAATGTCTGATATGAAGTACAAGGACTAAGCGAAACCTTCCTTTTTCGCTCACCACAATTTTCTATGCATTCTTCATTAAGAATTCCCATTTCTTTTGCCTTACAGTTCAATGCGTGAAAAAAATAATGGTCCGTTTTTGTATCGTTTTCAATTGGTGATTTAGATTAGTTTTTTTTATATGTGCGCTGAGCTGTAGCTGCTCAAAAGTTTACAAAACCTAAAGTGAGTTCCATCTCATGGTTTTGTAAATTTCACTCATATCATTATGTTTTACTAAGCTCTTTCACAATATCAAATGTGTTATAAGTAATGTCGGTTCCTTTTTATAAACAATGTCGGTTACCTACATTTAGGGTTGGACCGGGCTTGGGTCGGGACGGGATGTGGTCGTTACTGGGTTTTTGGGTTGCAGGCCTGGGCCCGGGTCCTACCCCCATCCACCAAACCACCCAGCCCAACCCACCTAGCAGAAGACCAAAGCCAAAAAACAAAAACAAAAACAAAACCCGACCCGTTCCCCCTTTCGTTATCTCGTAGCCCGCCCCCTACCCCGGGTCGGGCCTGCACAATAGGGTTGACTCGGGCCGGGTCGGCTCCGGGCCGGGCCTAGGCTCGGGTGGGCCGCCGGTTCTGAATAGTTGGGCTCGGGACCGGCCCGGGTAGCTACCGACTCTGGGCCGGGCCGGGCTCGGGTTTGGTTATTTTTTTTGCTTTCCTAAGTATCCCTAACCCCCCTCACCCCCCACCCCCTAACCCCCCCCCCCCCAAACCCCTCCTAAAAATCAAGCCCAACCCGGGTGGAACCCAAAAAAATGAAAAAAAAAATTCAATTTGGCCCGAACCGGGCCCGGCCCCGGCCGGGCCAGGTCTCATTTTGAAGGAACCGTGCCTGGAACTGTCTTCCCCTCAGGCCGGGTCAAAGCCCGGTACCCGGACCGGTGAACCGGGACGGGCCAGTTCACGGGTCGTGTGGCCTGACCCAAGTCCACCACTGCACAGTGCCGGGCCGGGCTGACCAGTCCAAACCTTACCTGCATTATAAATACGTAGTAGTAATGAAGGTGCAGGCGAATTTGACTAACTAATAAAAAACTGGCAAACAATGTTTAGCTTTTGTGAGTACGGGTGAGCAAAGGACTGGTTTGGAAGTTGGGTCCCTTAGACCAGTTGCAATCCTGGGGTGGATATATAGATTTGATCTTTTCACCCTCAAATTCCATACAACCCTTGTATTTGAAGAGGGGATAATGGGTTGGTGAAACTTTGGGTGTGGGAATAACCATCCGTGTATTCACTCCACTCCTAAATAATAAAGGAAGTTGCTGATTAAAATTAATTGGGAGCCATGCTGCCAAAACTTTGTCAGAAGAAAAGCAAGAGCATCGGTAATGTGCACTGAGCTATTTGACATTCCAAAAACATTTATTTAGTGGATAGATGAATGGCTGGGGTTAATTGAAACCCATTTGAATGCCAAAAACTCATTTTTTTAATCTTAATATATAGGGAAAACTATCATATTGGCCCCCAAAGTATTCAAAAAAATCAATTAAGCCCCTCAACTAAAAACACAATCAATTGAGACCTCAAACTTTACAAAAACATTCAAAATCGAAATTTAAGAGGTTAATTGCCGGTCAACCGGTCACTTGTCTACGTGGCTTATTTTTTAATTTTTCATTTTCCTCCTCCTCCTCCTCCTCCTCCTGCCTCTGCCTCTGCCTCTGCCTCTGCCTCTGCCTCTCCTCCTCCTCCTCCTCCTCCTCCTCCTCCTCTTCTTCTTCTTCCTCCCTTCCTTCCTCCTCCCTCCTCCTTCCTCCTCCTCCTTCCTCCTCCTCCTTCCCCCTTCCCTTCTTCTTTCTTATGAGCAGAGCAAACCCCTGAACTTTGTCCATTGCCGGTGACTTATCTTCCTTGCCGGCAGCTTGGGCGGCAGAGCTCTTGAGCTTCCTCCTCGAAGGAGACCACTTCGTCTTCAACACAGGTCATTGGCGAGGCAGTACAAATTAGTGTGGGATATCACCGACGACTTCTTGTTGTTGCCTTTGAAATCGACGACATCGATCTATCTGAAATCCATGGCGCCATAGTTTCTTGCCTGGGAGAAGTAAGAAGCATGGGCAGTGCTGCCATAATTCCTTGTCTGGATGAAAAAGAAGTAGGGGAGAAAGGATTTTGTACTATTCTCCTATTTGCTTGTCTGGAAAAGGAAGGTGTAAAAGAATGGGGGATTGGGAATTGCAGAAGAAGTAGGTGGAGAAGAATGGGGGATTGGGGGCGGACGAAGAAGATGAAAAAAAGAGAAAAAGAAAAAATGATTAAAATAATCTATTTGGACTGCCACGTAAGCATAATGACTGGTGGCCCAAAGCATACCTACTAGATTACAAATTTGAGTGTTTTTCTGTAAAGTTTAAGGTCTCAATTGATTGTGTTTTTAGTTCGGGGGTTTAATTGATTTTTTTGAAAACTACGAGGGCCAATTTGATAGTTTTCCCTAATATATAGTCCACGCTATTAAGGCCGCTAATAGAATTAACATAGTAATTTAGTAAATAAAGTAATATTATATACGAGTAGTATAACATATTGTAATTGTTGGCTAGTAACACAAGTGTGCATTATTTTATACATGCGAAAAATATAAAATCCAATTTTTTTTATTTTTACATCGGAATGTTTGGATTTTTAAATAATAATCATTCTTAATTTTTTTCCCGTAAAAAATGATGTGTATAATAATAAAAGTAAGGATTTATGAATTTAATTGAGAAAAACTGTGTTGGGTGAATATATTGACGGTGCTGGATTGCAGAAAAAAATTAGATTGACTGGGTGAATACACTTTTTTCGTATAAACTGATTGGAAACTTAATTTATTGACGGAGCAGGGTTGCGGATAGTCTAAGTATATTATAGTATTATACTTCATATATGTTGGTATGTGAAAAATGAACAAGATTGGATATGGTTCTGGTCCCATATAGCCGGAAGTATCAGTCTCGTTCTTGATTCTAGTCCTCAATATTCAGTTTTGGTAGAAATTCACGAATTCCAATTTGGTCCGATCCGGAATTGAAACAATGTCTACTCCTTAATACATGTGGATCTTGATGCCTTAAGGTTAGATATTACTCCCTCCGTAACATTCATATCTTCCCACTTTCCTTTTTTGGACGTAACATTTATATCTTCCCATTTCTAAATCTTCCCATCATACCCTCAATAATTTAAAAAATAATACACTACTACACCTACTTTTTTTTGGATTTATCCTTCATTCCATCACATTATTTCACCATCTTCCCATCATACCCTCAATAATTCATACCCCATTTCACTATTCTTAATCTCACCCACTTTGGAAGTGGGAAGATATATGTGATACGGAGGGAGTACAAGGGAAATTCGTAATACGGGTCTAGTTTCAGATCGGGTGGAACTTTGTGGGCATAGACGCAATTTGTGTCTCAATTTCGGTGAAGGTTGGGTCCTTTTTTTTGTCGGAACACAAATTTGTTCTTTTAGATCTAGGACACAACTAGACCGGTTTCCTTTATTTAAGTGTATTGGAATACATTTTTAAAATATATCATGAAGGTAGAGTCCTTTTTAGTCTTATGTTATAGAACTATAACATGTTTTGTTAAAACCCATATCTGTACTACACTAGGAATATCCTTGGCTAGTGGCGTTTCAGCCTGAACCACCATTCAAATAAAATATGAAACGCTGCAAATTGGAGTGAGTAGGAGGCCGAAATGTCAATATCCAAACGAGCCCTATTACAGATAGCAGTTTAACATCAAATGTGAAATTTATGCGAAGTTTGAGAATGTCAGCATAAAACTAGGTTTGTTTTTATTTAAGAGAAATGATCTGTGTCATGTCTTCCAAATTATGTTAAGGACAAAACATATCTGTATGGTAAAACCCCATTACGAAATGTAAACAATGGTCTGTCATTTATGTGCAGAAAGAGATGTCTTCAAGCAGATAATACATACACACTTCTTATGTAACACACATAGCAGATTAAACAACATAGACACCTATATAGCCAAATCAAACAAGCCATGGACACGTGACTACTTTTTATTCTAACCATTCAAAGAAAATATTCTTACTTTATATTACATACTGTATTTATCATTACACCTATATTACATACTGTATTTATCATTACACTAGCGAAATCATACCGTATGATGTAATGCAATGCAATAGAATGGAGTGCGTACTGTAATACAAAATGTAATGTAATGGAATGGAATAGTAATCAACATTACATAATTGTGTGTATGTGTGTGTGCTCGCTTGTGCGTGTGCGTGTTCGTGTGTGTGGGCGCCCAATTTTTTTTCTCATTGATTGGCTACTAGGTGGGTGGGGTCAGGTGGTTTGGGGGGGGATAAGGGTTTAGGAATAAATTCGAAAAGGCAGTTTTTTAAAAAAAACTGTGCTTGTCCAGACCCGGTACAAACCCAGACCGGTACCAAGCCTGCCACGGTGCCACCCAAACTTTTAGTCCCGCTCAAACCCGTCCCAGGGCCCGGCCCAGCTCGGGCCTGAGCCACCTCTACGTGGTATAAGACGTAATCTCAAATACACACCTTGTTTAATGTAATTCTTATGACACATATCAAAGTAATGAGTTCCACATGTGCAATGATCATTACATCACGATTTAAAAAAATGACATACCAAACATCATAATCAAATCAACATATAATGGTCATTACATTACATGGTTGATTACGTCATACCGGCTTATGTTTTATATTTTTATTTGCATCCAAGTTGATGCAAAGTATCTAAATAAATTGTGTCCTCCAAGTCTAGCACCTTTATTTTAGAAGTGAAGTGAGGAAATTCTAGAAGTAAATCGGGATATTATAAACTGTGCTTGCTCTCTATTTTAGCTAAACTCACAGTAGTACTTCTTAAGAGAACCAGCCCAATTACTAAGTTTGGACATTAATGCTATTAATTTTGGGCTTTATAATTTCATATGAACTTGATTACAATCACTTTTTATTTGTATAGAGTCACCAATAAAGCACCTGATCAATTGATCAAATGAGCTTGTAAGGTTAAATCTCACGGCTATCATAATGGGCCAATGAAAAGAACGTACTTAGGGTGAGAAATAAAAATTGAGTGAATTACCTTAATATGATTAAAACAAGGGTTAAAATAAAAAACAAGACTACACTATTCTAAATTCTTTAAATAGGATTAATTATGTGTGTTTGGACAATTATATCTCAGTTCGAGCTCCCAGTCCCAACCATCTTCTGCTGCTCAAATGAGCTTGTAAGGTCAAATCTCACGGCTATCATAAAAGAAGACTACACTTGATCAAGAAAATAGAGAGCATGGTGTCATGATAACTCTAATTCAACTAACGCTATAGTCTTCTTTTCTCATTCTTATAACCAACGGCAGAATCAATGATTTCACTTAATATAGTCCCCTTGGTGCCCACCCATTTGGTTTCCAAAATTTAAGTACATTGGAGTATTATGTTTGGGCACTGTTTAGTAAATAAAAGTTCAATATCAGTTGGTCTATTTAGGGACTAAAGATAGTTTTCACTACCCGAAGCTGTAAAGAACTAAAGATCCTTATAAGGAGACATTTGTAAGTGACCATTCTTAGAATTCGATTTCCGCCTATGGATAAGCAGAACTTGTTTTCAAATGATGGATTCACAATGCCATATGAATAAGCAGAATTAGAGATGATACCCATAATCTGTTAGAATATAGTTATAGATAGATAAACAATGCAGAGGACATTTTCTCTTGTGCGTGTATACTGTATACATTAAAATCTGCAAAATACTACGTAGAAATTAGCAAGAGTAAATATATTACACTATAATGTGATCATCGAGACTAAGCAA